AGACTTGTCGTCTGCCTCCACTTCTCAGCCCACCGCTAGGTGGCAGTGTTGTCGACCACAGTCGACTGTGTTTTGTTAATTCAGTATTGTTCGGATCGTGGGAGTTAGAGCATGTATGACTGCAGTTCGTTCAATATATCTATGATACCAAGCATACTTATGTGTGATTTAATGATCCTTCAAAGAAAAGATACATGGTGGCAGCGCTACGAACTCAACCTCTGAAGAAAACCTACGAACAAGAACCCAGAAACTCATCAAAAACAAGGAAGAAGATCGGGTCACCACGTGCCCGCCGAAGCCGCAGCGTGTTGCAAGATGGACGCTAACCAATTGGCCGCAATACAAGCTCAATTTCAAGCTCAACAAGAAGCCCTTCAGCAACAGCTTCAACAACAACTCGAAGCGCTGAAGATCGAAAATGAAGCCAAGGCCAACGCTCAACAGCTTCACCTTAACCAACTTCAAGCACTGCTCAACATGGAGCAACAAAGAAATATACAACTACAACAGTTTGGTGCAGCGGCGAACATCCCGCCGCCCGCCCAGTTCACCTTTCAGGGAGCTGACTGGCCTGCATGGATTCAAAGGTTTGATCAATATAAAGAGTCCTCACCTATGAAACTCCTCGATGGGAAAGCTCAAGTGAACACACTACTTTACCTGATGGGCCCCAGAGCAAACGACATCTTTTCAGCATTCAAGCTAACTGATGCAGAAAAGACAAACTTTGACGCAGTAAAGGCAAAATTTAATGGACACTATATAGCCAGGAAGACTAAGCTGTATGAAAGGTGCCGATTCAACAACCGCGTTCAACAGCCTGATGAACCAGTTGACAAGTTCATCACAGACCTGCACACCATAGGTCAAAAATGTGAGTACGGAGAACTGCTGGATGACCTCATTAGAGACAAGATAATTGCAGGAATGCGAAATAAAACTCTATCAATGACTTTCCAAAATGAAGAAGAGGAACCAAATCTAGAGAACGTCACCCGAAGAGTACGTACAGATGAAACCGTACAAAACTTCCAATACCTACTACAACACCAGACCGGTGAAGTAGCAGGCATCAGTAAACCAATAAAAGGAAAGGAAAAGCCCAAAGGTGATACAAATAAGCCATGTGGGTGGTGCCCGAGCAAAACACGTCACTCCAGAGAAGAATGCCCAGCCAAAGATGCAACATGTGAATTCTGTGAGTGGAGGGGCCATGTGATAGAAAAATGCAGAGCAAAAAAAGAATGGCTACAGCAAAAGAAAAGCAGTAAAGCACCAACAAAACCTAAGGAGAGGACCATCGGCGAAGTAGAAGCACCAGAAGGAGCTGCCGCACCCAATCCTACACAACTAAATGAAGTCAGTCTCCAAGACAAAACTGCCCTCAGTTTTTTCTTCAACAGCCTGGATGTGATTACAATAAAAGAAGAGCCAGAACCGAAGCAGATGCAGAAGTATGTACCAAAAGCAGATGCCATGACTCTAGTAGAAATGGTGTATGCCCCACCACAAATAGTAGAAGTAACAATCAACGGCATCAATATGCACATGAAAGTAGACACCGGCGCAGATGCAACAGTGATCAGTGTGGAACTATACAACATGTTTAAGAAAAAGCTTCCTGCCCTGGAAGCAGCAGGTGAGCTACAAGGAGCCAACTCAACAGACCTTGGGGTGAGAGGAAAAATGATGAACGTCAAGATAAGCTACAAACAAGAATACCTATATGCCACAATATATGTGGTACCTGGTGTTAAAATCCCACTACTTGGAAGATCTGAAGCACTCGCCTTCGGGCTGGCAAAACAAGTACTGGAGGTCAATAACAATTGCAGCACCCGCCCAGAAGAAACCTACAAACATGTATTCCAAGGGTTGGGGAGAATACCAGGCACGTATAAAATAGAATTGATAGAAGATGCAAGACCAGTAGCAATCAAATCACCCAGACATCTGGCCATCCCACTGAGAGAGCCAGTTGAACAAGAATTAAAAGACATGCAAAAGAGTGACATTATTGAGCCAGTGTCACACCCAACTCTGTGGTGTAGTGCAACAGTCCCAGTGATAAAAAAGAAACCGGATCAAGAAGGGAACTTCAGTGCAGGCTCCATTAGGATTACTGTAGATTATGCTGCCCTCAACAAGGCAGTGGTGCGAGAACTGTTCCAGCTACCAACTGTTGAAGAGTGTCTAGCAAGGGTAGCAGGCTGCAAAGTGTTCTCAAAATTGGACGCAACAAAATCATACTACCAAGTAGAGTTAGAAGAAGATTGCAGAGACCTTACCACATTCATAACGCATGTAGGAAGATTTCGTTATAAAAGAATGCCAATGGGGCTCAAGTCGTCCAGTGAGGTATTCCAGAGAAGAATATCAGAAATACTTCAGGGAATACCTGGTGTGGTGAATCTAATGGACGATTGTCTGGTTGGAGGCAAATCAATAGAAGAACATGATGCCAGATTGCGAGAAGTGCTGAAGAGGTTTGATGAAAACAACCTGACACTAAACATGGAAAAATGTAACATCAGGGTTAGAGAATGCACAATGTTAGGATGCAAAATAAGCAGTGAAGGCATAATGCCTCTCCACAACAAAATCAAACCAATCCTGGAAATGCCCAGACCTCCAGATATAACAGCACTAAGAAGTTTTTTGGGATCAGCAAACTATCTGATGAAATTCATTCCAAGACTAGCAGACATCAATAAACCACTACGTGATTTGATAAAAGAAGATAATATAAATGCATGGAGTGAGGAACACACCCAAGCATTTGAAACAATCAAAAGGGTGCTCTCACAGCCACCCGTACTTGCCTGGTACGACCCTAAACAACCAACGAGAATCACAACAGATGCTTGTTTATATGGAGCGGGGTCGGTACTGGAACAGCAAGATAAATCAACAGATATATGGAAACCAGTGGCCTTCATGTCAATCAGCTTCTCACCAACACAGCAGAGATACTCAATGATTGAAAAAGAGGCTTGTGCAGTAACTATGTCATGTGAGAGATTTGCTATGTTCCTGATTGGATTGCCAGAATTCACAATCAGAACCGACCACAAACCTCTAATAGCTATTTTAGAGTCTAAGCCAGTAGCAGAACTACCAGTCCGACTCCAAAGATTCCGGATGAGGTTGGCACCATATTGGTATCGCATGGAATTCATCCCTGGAAAACTGAATTATCTTGCGGACATTCTTTCAAGAGCGCCATTAAAATTCCAGCAACCAGACGCAGATATTATAGATGAAGATACAGTGGAAGAACTAGTGATCGCCACAGTGGCAATATCACTTCCCCTAACATCACCATGTCTCCAAGCAATTGAGTCTGCTCAACAGACAGACCCGACTACAAGGAAGATACAGCAATATATATTACAAGGCTGGCCAGACAAACGCCAACTGTATCCTGGAACAGAAGATATGTATAATTTCAGAGCAGACCTCACGCTCACCAAAACACTAGTCACATTCCAAAGAAGAATCTTCATACCCCAACAAATGAGAGAAGAAATGCTAGGCAGAATCCATGAGGGTCACTTACCAGTAAGTAAATGCATGAAGAGAGCTCAAGAGGCCATGTGGTGGCCCAATATCAGCAAAGAAATTGAGAACCTCATAGCCAAGTGTCCAACATGTTTGGAAAACAAGCCAAACTCCAAAGAGCCATTATTGAGTTCAGATATCCCTCAATACCCGTGGGATACAATTGGAGCAGATCTGGGTAACCACAACGGCATTGACTACTTAATTGTAATAGATGCATACTCCAAATACCCAGTATTTTTTAAAATGACAAGCACTACCTCACAAGCTGTGATCACTAGATTTAAGACTCTGTTCGAAATGTTTGGATCTCCAAACCTAGTCAAAACAGACAGAGGGCCGCAATTCATGAGTGAAGAATTTCAGAAATTTGCTATAGACTATGACTTTATTCACACACAATCAAGTGCTGAACATCACCAAAGTAATGGGCTGGCGGAAGCAGGTGTGAAAATTATTAAAAAAATAATCAAAGCCAACCCACAGGACCCAGGAAAAGCCCTACTGGAGTATAGGGCCACCCCAAACGACTCAGGATTCAGCCCAGCACAGCTATTTCTCTCCAGGCAAATTAAAACAAGGCTCCCATCAGTGAAGACAAACTTCATGCCAGAGATACCACCTGTGAAGAAATACAAGGAATTTCTTAAGAAAAGACAGGATCGTGCCAAGGAAACTTACGATGGAAGACATAAAGTGAAAACATTGTCCATGTTACAACAAGGAGACAGAGTCTGGGTGAAAGACACCAAGCAATATGCCACAGTTTCATACCTGGCAAGAGGCACCAGAAGTTATGGATTGAAAACAGACAGAGGATTTAATATTACCAGAAACAGAGCATATCTGGAACCTGTTCCTAAAATGATGCCTCAAGAAACGTTGATGCCGCAACAAATGCCTCTCACATCTGAAGGGGATAAATGGAGACAGCTAGAACCAAAAAGAACTGAGTGTCAGAGTAATACCACAGACTTGAATGGAAAAGATACCTTGACACCGGAGAAGCCAGAAGATCAGCCAAATCTAGGAGTCAGTTCAGAAGAGGAAACACAAGACGTGCAAGATGCTCAGCAACAAGACTCCGAGGCTCAAGAACTAATCAGACAAGCTGGCCCAGAGGCAACCGACGCTCCACAACCTCGTCGCAGCTCAAGAAAGCCAAAGCCAAAGAAATGCTCGATACCTAGTTGTGATTGTGATGGACACGGTGATTAGAAACAAATAAACATAACCCTTCCCAGTCACCACATCTAAACAACAAACATGAGGTATTATGTATTATTTAGTAATAAGAAAATTGTACCAATCGTTTTATGATTCTCTCAAGTCATTGTGATCATATGTTAATGTCCACATGTTACCAGATGGTTGCCATATTATTTTTATTTTGTTTTCCTTATTTCTTGTAACAATTATTATAAACGAAGGAGGATGTAGCAGACTTGTCGTCTGCCTCCACTTCTCAGCCCACCGCTAGGTGGCAGTGTTGTCGACCACAGTCGACTGTGTTTTGTTAATTCAGTATTGTTCGGA